TGTAGATTTGTAAAATAATATGGATAACCATCACTTCAGCTTTCTTTCACTTGACAAAGATAAAATCCTGTCATTCCAAGATATTTCTCGCACCAAATTTGGTATACTATATTCTAAACGCGTGATCTTTCCAGAAACGGATTTAACCATTTCTAGTTACATTTCTGCTTCTTAGATAACCTGACAGCTCTAACCTTAAAAGGGATATTCATATAAATCCTCTCTATCAGCGTAATAATCTAAACGTACATAACAAGATGTTCGTATTAATAAGCAATTTGTACTACAAGATCAAACAAGCGTAGCCTCTTCCAAGTTAACTTGACTTTAGCTCGGGAAATGAACAAGCTTAAAACTGCTTATTAACAGTTTTCGATAACATTAATGCATATATCATAAAACATCAGTATAATATTAAATAATTTGTCCGTTTATGTGCAAATATGTAAAAAACAATAATGTATCAAAAAAGCTTGTATTTCATAGATATTTATCGAAAAAGATTAGTATAAATATAATGTTTTCGTGCGCCCTTTTAAGATACCCAAAATGTAATTTAATCTAAGATCAGACAAAGCTAAAAATCTTCAAATATGAATGTCAGGATTCGTGGAATATTTCTTACTTTGAATAGTTACATTAAAATATTTTTTACACATACTAAAGTTTAATATAATTTCGAGATTTAATAATAAGAGATCTCAAAGGTAAAAAGTAAGCCATTAAAAATGTTCACAGAGAAAAAGATTAAAGAATTATTTAGTAGTCTGAACGTCGCATAATTTACAAATAATAAAATAGTTATTCAACAACATAATTCTCTTTAAAAATACATCGCGTCTCTCATCACTTGCGACGTCGTCGCGCACAACAGCTGCCGGACTGGTTTGTCCACTCGTCGGATTGATTTAACGTAAACGAACGATCAGAATTGCTGCTTCGCATTTATACTCTCCTAGTACTTTATTATCGATTAACTATACTGATTTCAGCTTATTGAGTTAGTATTACGAGCATTGAGCGCGCCCATTTATCGGTTATGGTAAACAAACGTGTCGGAACGGTGTAACGGCGACTTACATTAAATCTTGCTACTTACGTATAACTCTCCCTCAAATAAATTATAGTCATTGCTGACTTAGTGCAGCGATAAAGCTGTATTAAATCAGCTTGAGTTAATCACGAGTAGATCATAGTCAATAGAATCATGAGTTTCAACTGTCGAAGTCTCGATAAAAATATGTTTTTAAGCTGTTTGATGTCAAAATACATTTTGTATTGCAGTCTCGCAAACGGTATGCATCGAGATATACGTATAGTGGAATTCAATAGAAATGAGCAATTATAACATACCTATCTAAACAATTTTACCTTTATAAGGTTGTAGTTACACTTATTTAAAACAGGCGCCTTTATATCATCAACTTGTTCACAAAATGTGAGACAGTAAAATTTCCATTTCCATTGAAGTCGACTATAGTTTGTTCAAATTTTTTAGAGGTTGAAGTGGTTAAATGTACACAAATATTGCGCGATAAACATTTAGGTGTACCAAAAGCCGCAATGACGTCTTTGTCTTTGCTAACTTACGTGAAAATTGAAATACACAATGCATAAATTGATTTTGAATTGTTATTGTGTAAGAGTAATACTTGTATGTTAATTGTTAACCTCACTAATATATATATAATAATGTAGTTAGCAATATAAAGCAAAGTAATCTTTATTTACATAAGAACTTGATTTTTCCTTTAGAATATTCTTGATTCAAATAAAATATTTTACATTAAATGAGTCATATATTACATAGCATTTTATATACTATTATATGACTTCATTAAAAAAATAATGTTATATATTTATTTATAAATTTATAACATTATTATATATGTATATAACCTATCTTTTTGATTTTAAATCACCAATCCATTTACATAACAGGACCTCTTATGTGAATGGAGAGACTTGTTTTGTACAGAATTTACATTAAGCAAACTTGAGAATTAGATAGCGATTACTTCCTGGGTAATAATAACAAAATGATGTAATAAAAGAATCCATTGTTATCACCAAATACAAAAAAAGCTATGAGTGAAACAAAGTGTATAAAAAGTCTTTAAATGCATAATATTTCAAACATAATTCCTTAACAACACTCATATATCAATTTCAAGTCTGAAGGATAAAAATTAATCAGAAAATTTACAAGACACAAATACTATTTAATGTTGGCATTGGAAAATTTATGAGTCATGCACATTTGGACTTCCCAATAGACTTAGTTTTTATATAATGAGCTCTATGTGAACAGTATCATTATATAAAAAAGTAAAGCGATAACGCTGTATCCTTTTAAAAATTGCAACTACACAAGATAATATGATGCTATAGAAAATATCAGGGTCACAACATCTTTTTTAACAAAAAAAATGCAAGACTAATTTATATACAAAACTCAAACAATGCCCTAAACTTGACAATTTGTTTCTTATCTTATAAATCAAAATGAAATTATGTTTGTTGATAAGTATTTGTTAGTAATGTTGAACATATTTATTTGATAAAGTAGTAGTAAATCTTACAATAAATAGAGAAAAGCCACATTTCATAGTATTATAATAATATCCTTAAATGTGGTATAAAAATGATATTATTGTATATTGTCTGTACCTAGTCAAACATAAATATTGTGATGCTATCTTACGATACAATTGATTGATGAAAACAGTTTGATCAATTTCTAATAGAAATTGCCTACAAACATTTTTTCCATACAGTTCCAATAAGGACTATATTTGATGAACTATTTGCAAACCAGCAAATAGATTTTTTTATATAACTTTTTCTACTAAATACTGGCATCATAATTAATTACAGCTAATGGTAGCTCATATTGTATCTAGTTCTGAGTATCTAATTCAACTATAAAAATATCCAATAAGATATAAACAGCCTTAAATTTTATATATATGTGTATAATACATACCTAAGGTACATAACTGAAGCACCACTCACAATCCGTTTCCAACCCAATGGCACAGTTATAGTTTGTGGAAATTCACCCTGTGCAGTCCTAAGATCTGTAGTGTCACTTGCGCTGGGAGTGGATGATGGTAGCACGGCCAACACCACACCATCTGGAGTTCGCACCAGTTGAGGACCACCACTACTCTCCCCTTCACTGACTATTGTCCTATTCACACCCACTTGCTGATTCAGTATATTAATACTCTGATTCACAATAGACTGATGTGATGCACTTTGTTCTAAAAACTGATAATTCACATAACCCTTACTCATAGAAATCTCCCTGTCACCACAGTTTGTACCATCACTATCTTGTAATGCACCTTCAAAATGATTTTGATTGTGACGGAGCGCTATCGGAAGCATGGAGGGCATATTATCTGTATTTATGGAACATCTCTGATATGTTGCTATTTCCCCTGCCTCGGGTACCCTACCCTGGAATGTCTCTACACTATACTCTGTTGGGACTTGATTGGAACATTCCCTCTTTACACTGACCTGCCTCTCAACTGATTTATCCTCTTTATGTGAGTCTTTTAAAAACTGTGGAGGTACATTATAGAATTCAGTTCTTTGGGTAACATTCTCGTCAAATGTACATTTGGCGTCATCATTGAATGACTTGTAAATAACACCTGAAGGATTCCTATGGTCATTTTGGTCACTTCTATAAACCGATCTTGACAGGGGTATTTGATTGGGTATGTCGTATAGTGCATCGTAAGGGGTGCTCGCGGGCGGCAGGTCGGGGCCCGCGGCGGCGTGCTCTAGCTGGCGCTCCGCCACGTACAGCAGCACGCGCGGCGCTCCAGCCACGCCCGCCCGCGACGCGGCCACACTCGCGGGCTTGCCTGACATCCTCCACAGTCATCACACTCCGCACCCGCCAGCTGCTCACTAGCTGCACGCGATCGGCGATCCACCGACGGTGGCGTGACGACTCCACCTAGCATCTCTGTCCTCCCTGAGATCATTGCTCCGCCTCCTCGCTCCGACCTCCAAACATTTCACCATCCTCAACTGAACGCTTTTTATGCACCGACATCAATTATAATGATTTTATGGCGGGCTATATAATGGTTCCAAATAATTTTATGGCGGAGCCCTTTTCGGCTCCATTGTAAAACCACTCAATAAAACAGGTAGTCGGTGTCTTTAGGCTACTGTATTTTTCATTACACTAGGATCCATATTGACACTTCAGAATGTAAAAAGGTCAAAGGAAAAACGGTATCTTCATCTTTAGTCACCAATGTTTCACGAACACTTTCGAAACATCACTTATATTATACTCCTTAAATGCGACACGGATGTAACTTTTAAACGGGCACTTAGTATCTAAATCTAAAATTTCTTTCGCCTAAGTATAAACGATGCTTACAAAGTGACATACTACGAACGAACATTACGAATTTACGAACAACGAATGAAGGATCCTGAGATACGTACTATATGCGACTAATAAATATAGTCCAGTGCACTTATTTATTTAAAGTACTCAATTGTACACTTTACGATTGGTAGGGTTATATTGTAGGTTATGGTTACCTTGGATGGCAAGAATGACCAATAATATCGTTCGATTCATGGTCCAAATTAACTGTGATTGGTCACAATTGCTATCTTAGGATAAACTACCTACCTACAGTCTTTTCAAGGGTCAATTTTCGAATCAGAATCCGAACAAGAAAAGCTTAGAAAGAGACATCGCATCACTTTTTAACAACGCTCCCTAGAGACTTCCTTAGGAACTAATTATCATAATGAATATATCATGTTCTATCCAAATTAAAATTATGAGTATTAAAACCCCATCTTTACTCATACTATTCTTTCTTTCATTAGAAGGAACAATCAAAATTATAGATTTAACTTTAAGAAATGCAAGCGATATGTTATTGGGGGCGATAGATAATTACAAAATAACATGGCAATGAGAAAGAAATTTACGTTTACTTTGTCGTTGACTTGTCACTGCTGACATATGTCAATGTCAAAACGTCGAAACCAGTAAAAACAGTAACCACGAGCCACGAGTAGTAGATTATAGTGTGTTAATATTTTAAAACATTAATTAAAGCACGCGTAAAGGAATCAGAAATTTAATACAAAATGAAAAGAAAAATATCAGATATTGAAAAACAAGAATCTAAGTAAGTTTATTTTCGATGTTAAGGTTACTTTTACTTATTTTTGTAATAGAAGTGTCATAACGTGCAATTAAACACATTATTTTTTTTTTGCAGGCTATCTTCCATTCTGTTCAAAAAATCCAACAAATTTACTGAAAAACTATCAAAAAACTCATACGCACACAAAGATGAAAAGAAACCGGCATGGTTCGATGAAGACGATGAGCAATTTATCGATAATACAGCCGCACCTAATTCAAAAGAGAAGAGTTTGTACGCTAATAAACTCAAGCAAAAATATAATACTTTAATGGGCACACCGACTTGGGCAGAATTGAAGGAAACAAAAAATGACGAGGATGATAGTGAAATATTGAGAACCGTTGGACATTTGCAGAAAGTAAAGTCAATTGGCCTTCCAAAAGACTTTTTAGAATATAAAAAGTTTCCAGCAATAAATCGTGAAACATGCAATGAGGGGGCAATTATACGATGCTTGGAATTTCATCCAAAACTGAGTGTATCTCTTGTTGCTGGCACATCTGGTGTAGTTTCGTTGTTTACTATTGGAGGAGATGCAAACACTAAACTCCACAGCTTCAAACTGAAAAACTGGAATGTTACAGCGGCTCATTTCACACCCGATGGTACTGAAGCCTATATAGCTTCAGATAATAATCACAACTATTGTATTTACGATTTAGTCAAGGCAGAACCCAAATTAATGCAATTGCCCAAAGTAGTAAAAAAACCAAACATTTTTAAATTGTCATCTGATGGTAAGTATATTGCGACAAGTATTGGTTTGGATGAGGTGTATATAATATGTGCCAAGTCAAAAGAACTCCTTCGATCACTCAAAAACAACACAAATATTGCATCTGTAGCTTTTAGTTCTAATTGTGATAAGTTGTACTGTTATGGAATGCAAGGTGAAATAACTGTATGGGATATGTCAACGTTTAAAGCTCTAAGCAAATTTCATGACCAAGGTTGTGTTACAGCATCAAGAATAGAAACCAGTGCGTGTGGTAGACTTTTAGCTACTGGAAGTGGGGAAGGCATTGTCAATGTGTATGAAATGTCCAACTTAACTTCTCTTTATCCAATGCCATTAAAAACAATTCCCCATTTAAAAACTAAAATAACAAGTATAAAATTTAATGGAACATCAGAAATACTTGCTATATCATCAGGATACTATCCCAATGCAATCAAAATCCTTCAATTACCATCATACCATGTGTTTTATAACTTTCCATCAAATTTAAATTTATATCAAGTGCAAAATGTGAGCTTTTCTCCCAACACTGGTTACATGGGAATAAGTAACAATAAGGGACGTGCCTTTTTGTATAGGCTCAAGCATTACAAGAATTATTAAGGCTTTAAAAGTTGTTTTATTTACCTGAAAAGTTCCATTGTATATGATTTTTTTAAATATGTTTCAAACCTCATACTAATTGTAAAATATTATTAATACTATTTTTTCATTCATTGACAAGTCAGGGTTGTTTATAAAAATAAAAAATTGTGCTATCATATTGTCTAAAACTTATGTCTCATTAACATGTATTAGTGTAAAATTTCAAATACCTCCCCTGCAGCACCATAGACCAGTTTTTAATGAGGCGTATTTTTCTTTGCTACAATGTGGGAGAAGTGCTTACTATTGCTAAACCAGAATTTTACATAATATTAGTACATATCAATGTTGGCTCGCACAATGCAAACATACCATTGTATTTATTAATCAATAGCTGTCACCCTCTGTCTGCATGGGATTAACAACAAACTTTATAGATTAGCCTTTGTATCATCCGGACTATGTTCTACATCTCTATCATCTATGCCAAATTTCGGCGAGAACCATGCAGCTGTTCTAGAGATACCTTCATAAAAACATCCACCCATCTAAACATTCGCATTTATAATATAAGAAGTTTCTATAATAGTATAGGTTTTTGCCTAAAAAAGGGTGAAAAACAAAAGAAGAAAATATGTGAGATAAAATGTTTATTTTAATGCATTTTACAATAAAATTTAACATTCTACAGGAGTAGTCACAAAAGGGCACCTACAATCTGACCAACTGTTTGCATGATACCATATCATACAACAAATAATGTTAAGCCACAAATATCAATTTTAGGCAATGCACAAGTTTTACATTTCAGATACCAAACCACTATAAGTTAGACACACTACAACTTACAACCACATAAATAAATCTAATAAATTGTTGGAGCCTTGTTGCAGTTTCTATTATCAATGAAGGCTAATTTTGAAGCAAATATTTTAAGATGTACATTATTGAATTCTATGGAAGCTTGAATGAGCAAAATCTAGATAACTGTTGTGGTGTACAAACCATATTACCATCCCTGTCTTTCTCCTTGAAGAATATGAGATAACAATATGTTTTTTATATATGTAGTAACAGTTATGTAGTTGATGTGAAACAAGGCTCTCGGAAAAATAAAAATCACAGTAAGTAAATTTGAATGTTACTAGAATTTATCTACTGCACCTAAAATTAATGGACCTATTTATCATGATCCTACCGTAATTGTCTGGAAATTATTTTTATTGGTGAAAATGAAGTGATACTTTCATTTTCAAACTTCACGTACATCAGTGCATAGTAAAGATTGATGGACATATTTGCACTAAACTGTACATTCTATACCAATCAGTCCAGTAAAAAGATGAAGAAAATAAAAGTACACAACTTAAATGTTATTAAACACGATTAAGTTATGATGATTATTATTTTATTACATTACAAGTTTGAATTTAACTAGATTCTATGGAAAAAAGTAAATGAAAGAGGTATGGAGGCAACGAATTTAATAGCAAACAATATAGATATCTGTTTACTTTCTTTATTCCTCAATAAATGCAAATGACACATACAAATGTTAAGCCATTTGAGAGTTAAATAACCATACAAGGCTTCTTAGTTATTTATTATATATTTATTGAGAAGTTTTCGTTAAAATTTGTTATAATTTAATGGAAAAAGATATTTTGAAATACATTCTAAATGAAGCCATCTATGTTTTGTTATCACAATAAAATGTACATGGCAATATTTTACCATTACAAATTAATAATCTATTAAAATTATTTCATACAAAGTCAATAACAAAAAAGTTTTGTCACATACAACAAAAAAGTAAAGAAATAAGAAACAACACTTCTCTATATTGATTGCGAGATATGAATACTGAATTCGTTTCCCCTTTTATTGTAAGGGTGTGTTCATCAAATGTATTGTTAGTAACTAACTGTGAGTAAGCAATGCGCAATTGATTATTTCTATTCATATCTAATTTTAGTTCACGTGATTACGCCACGTGTAGGCGATACCCAAATATAGTGTGATTTAGACCGGGTCGTATGAACGGAAGGTTGTCGCACAACGAATTGTCGATTGAACAGTGTGTTACACAACCAAATGCAGTAACAACGCAACTAACAGCTTTAAAAAGTCGTGCAAAATCAATAGTTATTGAATTACCACAGAATTGATTTGTTTCTGCGACATCACACCGGTTAGAAACCTTCCCCACATGTTAATGTAGTAACACTATACTTAGTCAATGTAGTATGTTTTCTTGTACCTTGTGGCAGTTAATTTAATTTATATTAAAACTATCTAGCGCACTGGGATTTACAGTTATTATCTTAGAATACATTTGTGGTGAACACCCCCTTACCGAGTCTATAAGAGCTTATGGTAGTGCACCATGTGTCAGGTCCATGTGGTGCGGCGGTGCGGTGTGGCTGCGACTATCCGGTAGCGCATTGCACGCGGTTCATGCCGGGGTGATCGTCGTCTTCTTCGTAGGCGGCGTGGTGAGCACGCCGTCTGCGATTCTCTTGCTCCGGATCCAGCTCAACCAGCTGGCACTCTTCCGCCATTTCGGGGATTTCAATCTATAAGCAAACGTCAAATATGATATTCCATAACGCGACATTAAATTTAGAAAATAAAATTAAAAATGCTTGGTACCAAAAAATAGATATTAGACATAATAGTAATCACAATATTTACCCTTGGTCTCGGCGGCAAGCAGTTCTCTAATGCGGGAATGACTTCAGGCGGAATTGTGTTGGGGAAATTAACTAAGAATTGAATGATCAGTTGCCCCTTCTCAAATGGATTTTTGTACATCGGCATACCTGAAATAATATTAATATTCATTTAATTCCACACAACAAGGCCAATGTCATATATTTTTAATTTCAAACATAATATACTGTATTGCAAAAGTAATTGTAAAAATAAAACAATGTACAATTGTTAACTCACACTAACCTTGAATATATAAAGTTCTTCAAGGGTCACTTATAAATATTAAAATATCTAATTTTAAAAATTTACACTAGATACCAACCTTCATTCAGCACACACTTCACATCACCATGTTTGATGACCTCTCCAGGCATCACAGTAATCACAATGTCTCTATCATCTAGAGTTCGGATAACCTTCTGGAAGCCACACAGCGCTTCCACAAGTTCTATATTTAAGCGTAGGATCAGATCATTTCCGGAACGTTTAAATAACTGAAATGTATTTTTTATTAAATTAGACATGAGAAGAACAAATACATGAAAGATAATTTGTACCAAAAAATCAAGAAAAGTTTTCTCAAATGACCTTGTAAGGTACTAGGCTAAAATACTGATGCAAAATATTTGTGAATCCCCAGGTCAAGATGTATGGATTTGAAAAAAATAAAAACATCAAGTGTATCATGAATGTAAATAACAATTACATTTAGCAGCATTATACATGCTAATCAAGTCACATCGTTAACAATTGATCTACATAACATTACTGTATTGTTGATCATGATAATCAATAAAATACAGTATTTATAACAATATCTAAGCGTACTTAAAGTCTGATTCATAAACTCCATAATATTGAGAAGTGCTTTGATATTCCAATAAATTACTATTAATTAAACTTAAGATTACTTAACAATATTTAATCAAAAAAGAACATTTCGTAACCAGTAATGGATTTAATAGTATGACTTGCAATTATTTTGCAATGACTGGTGTAAAATAATTTTATGATAAAAAGAAAAAGTCATTGTTTTATGTAACTCAATGTATAATTACCTCATGTTCTTTCTCATCTAACACTATGATAAGATCTCCAGCCTCCATTTCTGGTTCCTGATCACCCTCACCACTGAAGACAATTTTCTGTCCATCTGTCATACCTTTGTCAATGTGAACTTCAAGAATTTTACGGTCTCGAACAGTTTTTCGTCCCTAAAATTCAATAATTTTTTAGAAACAATATAACAAATTACTATGTAAATTGTCTGAAATGATAAATGTTATAGGAACACATCATTATTTTACTTTTATATTATATTTTAAGAAATGCTCAAATAGTATAGTGCAGTTTCCAAAGAAAAGTATACCTGACATTGATTTTTAAAACATCTAATAGTTTTGACTAAAGAGACAAGTTATTGTTTCTTACCTGACAGACTTTGCAGCGGTCTTTGGGATCAATGATTTCCCTCATGCCACGGCAATCAGAGCACACAGTTTGGATTTGTTGGATCATGCCGGGTGCTAGTTGTTGGATCTGTACCTGCATACCAGTACCTCTACAAGTTGGGCAAGTTTGAACTGCACCCTAAAGATGAAGAATAAATAAGTATTATTCATAGATACATAATGCGACTAACATTTGTAATCATAGCAAATCAAAAGCAGTTCCGTAATTAAATATGTGATTTAAGTTTAAAAATTAAAGTTTGAAATAATGGTACTGGCAATTTTTATCATAAAAGTATTATAATTTAAAACCAAACAGTTTTAAAAAGCTAACAATAATGAAATTAAAAAAAATTTTTAGAAGGATATACCTTTTTACCACCTCTGCCTTCACATTTCTCACAGATAACATTCTTCTGCAGGGCCAGCTTTCTAACTGCACCACGGTACAATTCCTCTAAAGTAACAGACAGCTGGTGTATAACATCCTTTCCTTTCCGTTCACGACCACGTCGCCTGCCTCCACTGAAGCCACCGCCAAAGAACATGTCAAACAGATCCATGGGCGAAGAGAATCCACTTCCACCGCCACCTTCTTTTAACGCTTGCTCTCCACCTAAAAATATTGTGCAATTTAAAATACAATATAGGAGTAAAATGATGACTTGCAATGAATGTTTTGTTTATAATTTTTTTAGATAAATCAATGTAGTTCAATGTTAGTTATTTAATCAACTTTTATAAAAAAAAATCAACATTGAAGGCAGACTACCTCCTAAAACACTAAAGTGTAAAACTGAAACAATATGCAATTTAGTATACAATATGCAACTTTTTATGCAATTTAGTCTTTTCTAATGAGAGCTATACATTTACATTAAATTGATCCATAATATTCATAGCAGTTATTATATCTTAATCGTAATCATACTTTTATTTTGTGAGAATTAATAATGTACCTTGATCGTAAATTCGCCGTTTATCCGGATTGGAAAGAACTTCGTAGGCCTGTGAGATCTGCTTGAAGCGTTCACCTTCATTGGGGTTCTTGTCAGGGTGGTATTTCAAAGCTAACTTTCTATATGCTTTCTTTAGTTCATCTGTAGTGCAGTTAGGTTTTACCCCCAAAATATCATAATACGTTGTCTCTTTCACCATGTTTAATCCTAAATGAATAAGTAATTGAATTATATACTTGTGTTTTACAATCTTGTAAAAATATATATTACTAGAAAACTATACATATTTCCTTAAAATTATCAGCTTTCTCCACCAAATGCTACAACGAAAACATGAAAAATATTTATTCCTAACCTAATTTGTGATTACAAAGAAAAGTAAAATCTAGAAACCATAGAACTATGACATGACAGCATGGTGGAAACTATCAAATCTAAAAAAAACTTATCGAGTTGCTGGAATGGATAAACTTTATAGCCAACAGTTATATGATATGAAACTAATCTTACCTGTCTTATATTCACTTGCACTAACACTAATTAATTACTCAAAGTTCCAGAAACAACGACACAACGACTTTAAATATATCGCCTTCGACAAAGCAACCTTAGCGCACGATAGTCAAATGACGTTTGGATTGGATCGAAATCAAGAACTCTATATTGTCGTTGTCGTCATTCGTTAGTCGATTGCAAAAACTTACTCTTTCTAGAAAATTCTAGTATTCGTTCCATTATACGCATCTTGATACGGTTGAAATTTAAATACGTAAAAACACAGTATAAAATTGTTGTAAATTTCGCATAACCATCGATTGAGGAAAAGTTGAAAGACCATTTGAACCAAAATTCACGTGTAATTTATAATAGCCAGCTACCACGACAAGACAACTTTGAGATTAAGCTCAGTAGAAAATTGTACATGGGTAGTTCATTTCTTTTGTAAATCTTAAACTAGGTATCCCCATATTTTTCTAGAAATATCAAAAACTTCAAATGTCAATATGTCTATGGTTACTGTCTAGTTATTGACACATTGTCAATGCTAAACGTGATATTTCACTTTGACAAAATTTCAGCGATTTTGCATAAGTAGCTGACATCTATACTTGGAAAGGCTAAAAACCGTGATACTTAGTGCCTATTTCATTTCCGCCATTTTGGCGCTGACGGCTGTGATTGGTGGCGGTGGTTAGGAACAGAACTAATAATATATATGAAATGAATGGTAAGAACTTTAAAAAGTGCGTTTTATTCAGAAAGAAGCAATAGCTGTAATTTCCAAGCAATCTCCTATCTATAAAGAGGTCAGTTGCAAAAGCTATCATTTATGTACGCAAGTCAACGCTAGATGGAGTTATTTTTTAGTCTTAAATCAACTTGTTTTTGCATTTTTACAGATTTTTGCGATGTGTGATAAATAAAAGTTGCGAGAGCGAAATACTACACCACCTACATATTCCCCATACAGACTGTTGCTGGTTGGTTGTTGGCATGTATGACGACGTTAATTGGCGATGATAACGCCTCTTGTAATTGTGCTATGATATGATAACGTAACATCAGTTTGCAAGCTAACGCGTTCTTGGCCGCGGCTAGTCTTTACTCCTTACCCATTTGTTTCAGACTAGATTCGATAGTGGTGACGACTAGTGTGTACTTTTTGGAAAATACAATATTTTTGCATTGTTTTTAAATTGTGTGTTTATTATAACAACAATATAACAATGGCAGAGAAGCAAGTAAAAAATAGAGTGTGTATTATTGGTTCAGGAAATTGGTAAGGTTTCATTCTATTTTAATTAGATCATTTTTGTTTACCGTGACCTTAGTCTAAAGGATGACATAACTGCACATAGTGTGCGCTCTATGTAAAATCTTTTTTTTTCGTATGTGTTAATTATATTTAAAAATCAAGAATTAAAGATCTAAATATAAAATGGTACTCAGTAAAAATTAACGGCTTTTTACTATAAAAAAGTAAATTTTAAGTTATCATTTGTTATCAATAGGGGTTCAGCAATTGCTAAAATTGTCGGTCGCAATGCAGCAAGGCTACCTAATTTCGAGGATAGAGTTACTATGTGGGTGTATGAGGAGATGATTGAAGGGAAAAAGTTGACTGAAATAATCAATGAAACTCATGAGAATGTCAAGTATTTGCCCGGCCATAAACTCCCGCCTAATGTGGTGAGTACAATTTAACTTACAATAGTATAAAAAATTGTGTTAAACTACTTAGCACCCTTATAACTTTTGGCTTATGGGATTAAATATTCATTTTATTTTTTGTCTCCCCATATTAAAAATAGGATAAAACCTTGTTTAATAGGAGGTAAAATACAGAGGTTTTTGCTATTACTTCTGGTTTTATAATTTTATCCCTAAAAATAAAATAAAACAATTTTTTTCATCCATCTGGATTTCACTTAAATCAATTCTTTCTAATTGTAACTTAAAACCCCTAGACAAAGTCCAACAATTACAATCTGTTTACTCAGTTATAATGAATTTTGCTAGAAAAAAATTACAACTGACATAGCTATGTTTCTTCTTATTTTTTAATGCCCTAACCATGTGTTTAACATAGTCCAGTGCTGGATATAGGCTTCTCCCTAGCCATGTTCATACAGCTACAAGTTTTCAGTGAACTTGCCAGATGAAACATTGAAAGTGTTAAATAAAATTTCTTTTTTTGAAAGGTTGCTATTCCGGATGTGGTGGATGCAGCTAAAGATGCAGATCTTCTAATATTTGTAGTGCCACATCAGTTTGTAAGGACCATATGTTCAACATTATTGGGTAAAATTAAGCCAACAGCTGCTGCACTCTCTTTGATAAAGGTATTTTTTTTTAAGTTCACTTATTTCAATCATTCAATGAGAATTGTTTTGTCTTTCAATGGCTCTTTTTGTTGTAAATCTAATTATTTATAATTTTATGGAATGCTTTATATAGAATACATAAGTATGCAATTATATTTAATCACATATGTAGTCATGATGGCTCTAGGGTTGGCACAACATTATAAATTGTGTATTAAAGATATTAAAATACACAAGTGATATATGCAACATGTTTTTGGCAGGGCTTCGACATTGCAGAAGGTGGTGGCATTGACCTTATCTCTCACATTATCACAAGATGCCTCAAGATACCTTGTGCGGTATTAATGGGTGCCAACATTGCTTCCGAAGTAAGTATTGTTAAATTTTTAACCATTATGAATTGATAATTAATATATTCTTTAACACATTCAATGCCACTAATTCTCCGCGAGTTTATGATATGTGAAAATGACATTGTTGTTACATGTGTTATGGGAGTTAATTGTTAGAAAAATATTTTGATATATTTTACACCTATAATTTTTTTTCACACTATTAATTTCTTATTTTTCAAGAGCTGCATCATTTGTCATTGTAATTGTAAAATATTTAGATACCAAGTTTATACGCGCGAAAAAACATTTACATATGACATACATTTTGCTTGGAGTTTGAATTTTGAATGCCTTGCTTTGTTTGCTGAAACAAAATGCGCCGAGAAATGTAAAACTGTAGCTAGTTTTATTCTTCAAAAATCTTTTTTTTCTATTGTTCTTTAAAAGAGAGATAAGGAATTATTTATAGTTATAAAACCTTTCTAGAAAAAAAAAACTAAGAAAATTTGTTAATGTTCAACAACTAAATGATCGACTTAGGTTATTGATATCACATAAGCATCCTTTGAAAAGTTATCGAAAAGTTGTTATGTGTAAAAATGCGTGATAAAGCTGACTTGATTAATTTAGATATAAGTTTATAACTTATATTTAAATTAACAAACTATTATACTTGTACCCTTATGACATCCGTTGAATTAAAATAAAATTGTTATTTTAGGAGTTATATATATTTTACTAACAGTTTATTTTTTTTAAACAGTAGTGTAATATATATTTGAAGTGGTAATACTGTTGGTATGACATTCCGGGAAGCGATTTATCGGACGGTCTATAATGATTAATGATTAAATATTTTATACAATTTAATGGTCAAATACACTCGAAATGAAAATATATTACAGTGATCATAATGAAAAAGCCATTAATAAACTTTATGCACTAATGGGTTAATAATAATTGTAAAATACCTCACACATCAGTAGTGGTCAAGCCCTTTAAGCGACGGACTGTAAGAACTACTTATGAACTTATACATAGTATGTTAATAATATGTAAGTGCGTGAGCTATTCGGTCAAAAAGGCAACGAAGAGAATTTATTTTAAAAGTAATATTCATACGAAGAGTTTCATTCTGACGGTAACTTTCCGCGAGATAATATTAGATTATTTGTTGTGACTTTATCCCTATAAGCAGTTTAACCTTCACACTCCATTGTAATGCAGAACTATATCTAAGCTATCGATATACGAGATTAAATAACATAGTTGAGATTATATACATATTTAGAACATAAACTGAGTAACGATGGTTATAGCTTTTGATCGTATAAAAACTCTAGCTGTCGCCCGCGACTTTGTCCGCGCGGGATTATAAAATAGATAGTAGCCGATTCTCAGACCTACTCAATATGTTCACAAAATTTCATGAGAATCGGTCAAGCCGTTTCGGATCAGTTTGGGAACGAAAATTGTGATACGAGTATTTTATATATAAGATGTATCACTTTCGTTGGATAAAACTTAGATTATTTAATAATTAACTTTTTTTTAATTTACAATTCCATTTACAACATAATTAAATATTCTTGTTAGGTAGCGGAAGAGAAGTTCTGTGAGACAACTATCGGTTGTCGCGACGTGATGTTAGCTCCAATGATGCGGGATATCATACAGACGGAGTACTTCCGCGTGGTCGTGGTGGATGACGAGGACGCGGTTGAAATATGCGGAGCTCTTAAGGTTTGTCATATTTTAAATTTAACACGTTCCACGTTACGTTTGTATGAAAATAAACTTATTATGTCCGTACTAAAACTAGAATGTTTTACGTAGTCATATGAATTATGTAAAAATGCCAAACTTCTTAGGTGGCAAAGGAGCAAGCTGATATAAGATACCAAAGTGTCTATAGACAATTGTATTTTCTCCAAATGTTTAGAACATAGTAGCGGTGGGTGCTGGCTTTGTGGACGGTCTTGGCTTCGGGGACAACACGAAGGCGGCTGTCATCCGGCTCGGCCTGATGGAAATGATTAAATTCGTGGATGTATTCTACCCGGGCAGTAAGCTCAGCACTTTCTTTGAGTCTTGCGGTGTCGCAGATCTCATCACTACGTGTTATGGTAAGTTTTTATACTAGGTATAGAGTAAGCAAACTTTAAGGCGGTTCGCTACTACGAAATAGAATACGCAAAGTACAATTTTAGATATGTTCGACGTTAATAAGCGATCAGACACCCTTATCTATACTTTCCACCTTTCCAGTGAGCCAAACTTGTGAAGATTTGGTCTTGCAGCTAAGCACAATCCGCTATAAAGCTTGAATCTTGTTATACTAGTTTGATAAATTAGGTTTTATGATGACGATGAAACAGAATTTTGTAAACAGTAAACAGTTAACAAATTCAATTACATTTAAATTCAATTGTATATTTTTAATAGTGAAGTGTCAGTGAGCTTGAGAAACATTTATCAAGGCTGTATAAATGTGAATGGATGGGAAGTGTTATTTCTTTCTTTTTTATTGGCCTTCATAATTTAGTTCATAACATTACCGCTCACTTAACGAAGTTCGTTTGCGAAAAAGTTAAACATATTCGATTATTCGATATATTCGATGATTCGATACTAAGAAAGATAGTAAGTAAATCATTTTCGCCTTTGATTTCACATTCTAAAGAGTTACATAAGTATTTTTAACATGATGAACTTTAAAACCAACATTTAATTAAAATTTAATATCGAACCTAAACCCTTGTTTTAGCAGATACACTGTCTACTTAACCATATCTACGTCAATTATCAACTATGTTGCCAAGTGATAGTTTTTTTAACACCGGCTTAGATATCGCGTCTGATAAAACATATTGATTTTTTACACGTATTTAAGTGATCATTGTATTGCGAGTCATTTTGAACTGTTATATTAATCTGTAACTTGTCTTGTATACTTGAAAAGTAGTATCGTCAGATATAGAAACTTGAATAAGTTTAATCGTGTTTTCCACTGCCGATCGAATATGACTCCGTTTATCAGTTTTGTAAATGTAATGTCCTTATTATGGACCATCTTGTCTTCTAATATTTTCTTATAAAAGGAAAAGATTTGTTTTCAAGAGTTTATACATTTAGCTATATTTATGTATGCGCTTTGTATTGCCGCTAATAAGTAACTAAGTGGAAACAAAGTTAAAGTCATGCATACTGATTAATTTGAACTTTGTATTCATGACTGTCTACTCATGTTACAAAGTCCCCCGTGTAGTATAAAGTTTTACAATTTTACATTATAAATGTTATGTTACATGACATTAAGTACATCTCAAGGGGTTTTCTTATAAGGGGATAGTAAACTAAATACAGACAAACCTGGATTATCGAGAGTCCACGATACCACGATATTAACGAATAATATCGAACAACGGCGGACAAATTCTGCCGCTGATTTTTTTCATTTCGTGTTTGGAACCTACCCAATTTAAAGATCCGATAAAAATCGAGTCGAAACATTAACATGTTTTACAGGTATTTTACATTTTAGTAGAAATTTTATATATTGAAATAATTTATTATTACATTACGAAAAAAGACCAGAATAGCGACAAGTATTAAATTTTGAGATCCAGTATAAGTCTTAGTGGCTAATTTTAAATTGCTTCTGCTTGCTACTTCATTATATCATCATTTTCTTAAAATATTTTCCGACCCGAGCGCTACTAGCTTCTTCGTTTCGTGTTAAAGTGCACTTATCTTGACTGTCAAAGCGAGGGCAGTTCTGTGAACTAGGCTATGACCCAAATGTCCGCAGTACACCGTTGTTGTTTAAACCTTATCGATCAAAGGTCGTGGAATGAGTGCACGGTATGTTTGCCTGTTCTTTATTTTAATGATCTATTTTTCTTACCTTTATGTAAACAGATTATGAAAACAAAGCATCACAACGATTAATTAATATAGTCTTATTTGTCTTTATTTCTACTACTTGTTTTTTTTATACTTGATATTATTTTTAATTAAAATTTGTGGCCAATGTCATTCGCAAAAAATAGCATTATAATCGGCTTTTATGGATGACAATAAAAATGTTTATGTTTTATCAGTTACGTTGTTTTACAATTACGGTGTGATTTATACGCGTGATTATATTAATCATAGGCCTATATGTAATCAAATTTGTGCTGTTCCGATGACGAACAATACTGTATTATTACGTTAAAATAAAATGTTTTATCCTGTAACATTTAAATAAATTATTCAATGTTATAAACTGGAAAAAGCGGTGGTTTTGGAGGGCAATGATTCCTGCCTTGCAGTTATCTTACGTCTTACTATCTTATCTTAATAATATTAATGGTTTACATATTTATTCGATAACTCCGCGACGGTTCAGCGCATCTTATTGAAATCCAGAATTGAAAAAACCGTGCCTAAGCTTAATTCTGAAAGAGTAATAGATTCTCATTAAACTGTAAACTGATAGAAAAGTACTCTCTTCCCTAGCCCTAAAAATGACATCTTTATGTGATCAAACTTTTAGACACCAATTAGAATCCTTTGGCGCGAATGGCGCGCTTTCATTACAAAGTCAAGTGTCAGAATCATTCGACATTTTAGTAAGGCTAGTGTTGTGACAGTACACCGGTACAGTGTCGGATTTTCTTCCTAACAAAATAAAATAATAAATCAATCGTTGAAATCTTTACTTAATTTTTGCCTTAAAGAGTAAGTCACCTGGAGAAAAATAAAATTTGCTATTATAAAAAGTCTATTTTATAGTTCCTTTAATTCTAGCAAACATTCTCTAGATGACTTTGCAGAAAATGTTGAATGTATCAGCAAATGATGTAATATCAAGTATAGATTTCTATCATGTTAAAATTTGTAGTTTAAATTCTGACTTGGCTTATTTCAATGTACCTAGTTGTATGGCAACTTGTTTTGTTGTGTATGTTTAATCGTGGGTGCGGTTGTACATCAACTGTTCCTGCAATGTCCTATTTAACAGTCGGGTCGTTCTTATCGCCGTAAAGATTCGATTTTATTTATTAATATGTACTTTGCAAGATTACTAAATACTAAACAAATATAAGTTACGACATTCGTGTAATTTTTCTACGCTATTATCGTGTTTTTGGGTTTGATGACTTTATATCAAATTTAGGAATTTATATAATTGCCGATTTGATTGTAGTAATGCTACTGTTTTTTAAATTACATATATTTACCTTCATCTATTACTAGAAGTAACATATCTTACTAATATTTTAAATACGAAAGTTTATATAGATGGATGGATGTATGTTAGAAGGTCCGCAACGAGTCAACGGATCTTGATGGAATTTCGCATCGATTTTTTTTTATATCAAAAGGTGGCAAACGAGCGAGTGGCCACCTGAAATCGCTGAAATAGCGAAGTGACCGTTGCCCATAGACATACGCAAGTGCATATGCGTTGCTTACCTTTAATCGACGGAGGAGAGGATGCACGGAAAGAAAATATCTTCCCTTTCCATGCATCCTCTCATCCGGAAAGTCCACTTCCACTTCCCATTCTTTCCTTATAAAGAGGACTAAATTAGGCCTCCGGGACGCACACTCATCAGACGAAACGCGGAATCGCTTCCACTTCACGCCTGTTTTCTGTGTGGTCGTGGTATTTCACCGAGCCGGGCCGATTCGTGCGAAGATGTTAAAGCGGGCTCTACCACTGTTAAAGATGTAGAACATAGTCTGAAGAAACATATAGGCTACTTATTTAATTCGTAATTTATTACAGGCGGCAGAAATAGGAGAGTTGCGGAGGCGTTTGTGAAGACGGGCCGATCTATCAAAGAACTGGAAGATGAAATGCTGAACGGACAGAAGCTGCAAGGGCCCATCACCGCGGAAGAAGTTAATCATATGCTGGCCAACAAGAATATGGAAAACAAGTAAGCATGTAACACGCTCAATGCCACCGATTATTGGACCCATCGATGAAAATCGTAATGGCATTGGACGTGTTTATATTAAGTTTATTTTTTATTTAACGATACGTTGACATAACTCTTGTAAGTATTTTTTACGTCGGATTTTATTAATTAGAAGTGATTTTCAAATACTTGCTTGTATAATTAGAAAAAAAAATTGTTAAAAAAACAGACACTAAAGCTATAACTTGTTTATCACTAATGAATAAAGTTTTAACCCAAACCTTTACATGCCTGTAATCGTTCGTTCTTGCGTAACATCGTCCCTGTCAATCACATCGGCGTGCACGTGAAATATTGTTGCCAGTGATCTATTCAAATTTAAAGCTTGAAATATTTTCATACGAGATACACCGCCAACTTTTGCAAGCCAGAATATTTTTTTGGCATTTCCCATAGTAAATCACGTGAGAAGTGACGCAAGACTCGTGAGGAATCCATTGAAAGCACGAGTACGTGTTTAAATGTTATTTTTATCAGGCGTTTTAGACTAGTATATTTAACAATCTTATAAATGCGAACATTTGGATGGATGGATGTTTGTTAGAAGATATCTGCAGAACGGCAATCTCAGTGAAATTCGGCATAGCTTGTAATCACATAGGGTACTAATTTTTTATTACTATCCTAGAAGGGTTATATTAACGAAATCATCGTATTATGAAAAAACAAGTCAAGAAAATATTATATCAAATTAAAAAGAATAAACAATAACATCAACCCAATCGTTGTTGACCTCATAACATTAAATATTTGAATAACATATTATTAATAAGAACAAACATTAAATAAAAAACAATGTCATACGACTTCTGATTATAACTTCTATCCGACACCTTTATACCTATAGTAACCTTAGTTTGATCTTTTTACAAGTTGACTGAAGAAAGGAACAATTTCATTGTAGCTGTAACAAACATATTTCAACATTCAAAATCGATTAAACTTACGACTTGTTAAAACTTTAAAACCAAAAAGATAGTTTTGACGTTTTCCTTAGATTTTTCGAACAGTTTCTTGTTTAAATCTATGATATTTTATAAAGATTTAGGATGTGAACGCAAAAAGATATATTTATCTTCCTTAAAAAGATATTAATTTTTACGTATTAATAAAATTGGAGAGACTTTGCACTCCTGATAACGAAGGACCAATTTTTAAAATGTTGTCTATACATATAAATACGCGTTTGTTCCGGGTAATCTCCGAAACCACTGAGCTAATTTTGAGAGGAATGGTTCTGGTTCATGTGGACACATTATACGTTACTTTTCTCTCAGCACTGAAGAAGTCACAGGCTACAGCTAGTATTGAATAATTTTATACATCAAACTCTAGTTTAAGCCGTACAGCTGTCGTTGAAATATAAGCCACGTGACACATTGTTCACCTCGCAGATAATGCGATCCACACGTCGCGTAATAATGTGGATTGAAATAGTTTGACTTGGCGGCCATCCATGTTCAATTAGAGGTCAATATTAACGTTAATTGGCTGGTTTACACACTTTACAATACGTAACGACTACCATAGCCAACATGATAGATATTTAAGCGAGAATCGTTTATTATCTGTAAAAGAACATAAATAAGTGTATTTGATATAACATCAGGCTACTAAATTTAAAAGTTTATTACTGAACAAACAGCTACACGTAACAATGAGATGCTCCTTTAGTATTGTTAAGTTGTAAACAAAGGAATCTTGCCTTATATTTAGATAGTGGTTTAAACAAATGCTTAGATTTATATTCAACAAAAAATTGTCTTTATAAATATTGCCGGTATTTTTTCATATTTTTTTTTCCAGATTCCCTCTTTTCACCGCTGTATTCCGTATCTGCAGAGGAGAACTCAAACCAAGCGACTTTATCGACTGCATCCGCAGTCATCCCGAGCACATGTAAGATCAACACTAACAGCTTCCTTCTGCATAGCTTCTAGAATAATCTAGAGCATATAACGTAGAATAGCATCCAATAACTTATGTAAATAACATTGTTTATTTATGTACACTATATTTATGTATATTTTACAGGGTGCTAGTACTTAGATAACGGTTCTGTCTATAAGGGTGGATAGTTGGTTGAATTAAGATGAGATTATATTAGCGTTGTATTGTACTTAGTTACATTATATCTATTGGGGTTTTGTTTGAACGTTGTTAAAATCGTAAATAGGTTACAGTGACTTTCTGAGACCTAAATCCCCCTTTAAAATATAATGTCGTTTTTGTTTTTGTCAAAGATAATGACAGGGATGACGATATGTTTTGTATGGAGATTTTTGTGTCAGTCACTCGCGGTAAGTCATGTTGGTGGTACTATAAGTTCTCACCGCCGAAACGTGCCCATAAAACATGTTTTATGTGAATGTTTTGATAGTGGGAATTCACAGGTAGAGGCTAAAAGCATGTATTTATAGCATCGTTGTGTAAATTACTGACACCTGTTATAATAAAGTTTATATATTATGTTGTTGCTAATATTGAATAGGGTCTTATCTATATCGATGTATTAATCTGTCAAATAAGCTGACATTTTCATCCAGTGGGGGTCGTTATCTGTTTTCGACGGGATACATTGTAAATGAACGTTTTGAAGTGGCCCTTTATCAGATAGGAAAAATATTGATGTTGTTAATTGTGTTGTTGAGTAAAAATACAAAGAGGTTAGATGTATAACAGTACAAATATTTGTATTCTGTAGTTCTAATGCACATTTTCTTATCTATTTAACTATTTGCACCTTCCTTTAGTCAGTAGCTCTATGTATGTTGATTAAAAAGTTTCAAAATAACAAACTCCTTTCATTCTTACTGCTAATCCTATATTTCGTATTTAACAGTGACGTTTTATGTTAAAATAATTCATTTGTGCATGTTGGTTGTTTTTTGTTTATATGTGCTTTTTACGTTTTCAGATTTGCCCCCAAGAATATAAGTATCTATTAAAATATATACAAGATTATCGAATTTTTATATTTTTTTAAATAGCTTTTATATTTACGCGTGGTAAATATTGTTAATTTTTTTTTATATATTTTTTTATTGTATAAAAATATTTGCCGCGACGTAACATTTTATTTGCATGTTTTTATACCATTTAATAAAATATATTGAAGGGACTATTGTTTATAATTTATTTACTAATCGCTTGTTTTTATTCGCTAACAAATGCTTTTCATCATGCACATTGCTTTTAAAATCGCTCAATTAAAAAAATAGTGTTGTAACGTGTTGAACTAATATTCTAGGAAACCGCTGACGCCCAAATGTTCACTGTGAGCGGGATGAAGAGTCATACAAATTGTTACACGCAAACATCGCCTACACGCCTACATTTTTATCAAGCATTTTAATTTCAGTCATTTTTAACAACTTTGCAGGTTGCATTGATAACAAAATGTTTTTTTTTTTCTAAAAATCATTGCACGATCTTAAATCATTGTTGGCCAGATTTAAAACATGTCCTTAGTAAATGGTTTTTGTACAGATATTTCAGCAGTTTAAACGCTCATTTAATATTTGTGTGTGTTGTAAACATTTTTTTTTATTTAGCTGTTTAGAGTTCAATATTTTTTTGTTTCAATGTTTTTTTTTTATTCTCTGTTGTGGAAAATCGAACATCATTTTTCCATACCTGTAATGTTTTTTTTTAATCTAAGATTTTAAATATTACAGCTTTGATTTAATTTCTGTCTTGGCAGTTGCATGTTTATTTTTTTTATAATTCACTTTTTACATAAATAAAAGTACATTTATCATTTTTAAGAAATTATGAAGTAGTCTTAAGAATAATATGTTTTCATTCTTCATTGTTAATTACATAATTGTTATAATTTGGCGGCTTTTCATTATCTTATTTAGTTGTTTATATTTTTTAAATGATTTTTTTTCCTTAATCGGGCAACACTTTATTTTGTGTGTGTGGTAAAGTAGTCTTCATCAATTTTTGTTTGTTTTTTCAAGAAACATGTCAATTTTATGATAATTTTAGATATAAGTAATCAATGACATAAACTTAAGACAAAAATGAATACTAAATTTTTTAATACTTAATATTTACGTTTTTATTTTTTCATGCCACTATAACTCATACAACATATTGCATGTCTTTTCTTTCATACAATTATAAAAAAATTGTTATCGGCTTGTATTACTTAAAAGAGTTTCTTAATTCAGTCTTCTTTTTAGTCTACTCAAAAATTTATAAAATTAACATTGTAATAGTGTGGGTATTTGAATATTTTGTAAATTAAATTATTTTTATATTACTTGCCATATGCATTTGCAGCAATCATTTCATAAACATTTCATTGGAAATTAATTCAAGATTCATATAAGAAAAACAGAAGCCTATATTTTAGATAAATCCTTAGCTTTTGTTGAACTTATCTTTTTCAGAGTACGGATTGTTAGAAAATCACATTGCTGTATTTGCTAAATGTGAAAATAAGGTAAGAATGAAAATTTAGAGGCTTCTGTTTTTGTAATAGTACCATTGTATTGTCATGTCATTGTGCATTTACAGGATTATATCGGAGTTTTTAATATTTAAATGATGTCTATTATTTGGAAATACCAATATCCTGGTGAATTTTATATTTTACACAATTTTTTAATACGAATATATATTTTAAACTTATAGTGAACACATTATTATCAGTCAAAGTTTAACCGGATCTAATAATTTTTTTTAATATAAAAGTTTCTGCGTATATTATTGGGTTAAATCATTTTTAGGGTTCCGTACCTCAAAAGGAAAAAATCAGAACCCTTAATAGGATCAATTTTTTATCCGTCCGTCTGTCTGTCAAGACCCTTTTTTTGTAACAAAAACCTGTTATGCCTTTAGGTAATAGAAAATTAAATTAAATTGTATTCTTAAGTTTATAACATTATTAACTATTTATGTTTTTTAGTCAAATCATAAACATTTTTAATATATCGTTTTCATTAAAACCTACAAGATTGTGTATCAGAATGTCGTAGTGGATAGTTCGCAGTGTGATTAACACAAAAGGTAAGTAACCTAATTTAGAATATTAGATCATTGCCAGTTTGAATTAAATGTGATTCGATGCATGTTTTTTATAACTCCATGTTAAGTGTTCGATAGATTTCAACCAAGTTTGAATAAGGACTAAATTTTGCATTTTTATATATATATTTTTTTCATGATTAATTTTGTTAAGCATGTTAGTGTGGTCCTGTAATATTTATCTTCTAATATTGATAATTATTTTATTACAAATTAAATTTTACTTTTAACAAATGCTACAATTAAAAAAATATATTTTCACTTTCAACTCTCTTTGCAATGAGAGAAATTTGATAGTTGAACTAGAAAATTAATATAATACATTTTAAAATAGAAATTTTATGTATAATACATATGGATTAATATCCTTTAAATATGTACCTCCATGTTAAGTAAAAAAAAAATAGAGATTACTTATATTTTACAGTGGATTTAAATATTTTTTCCGCCTTAAATTTTATAGATGTAGCTTGTAGTGCGGCAAAACTGTTGTCAGTGTTCTTAAATTGATGTTTGCGTATATTATCGTTTATTCGTATATTTAACAGTATTTTTAATGCATTTTGATTTCTCTTTCAGGGTAAAAGCAGGTATGCAGTAAATCCAACAACTTAAAGTTTGAAATTTCCGATATAATTAGTTAATTAATTTCAATTTTAAACACAGTATTGAATAGTAGATGAATGTAAAATTTGGTTTAAAATAGATTATATAAAATCCAAAGTTTTATGTAAATATGTACGATTCTATTTTTATATCGTATATTTAATGTTTTTTCTGGTGGAAGTATTGCCAAAGGAGTGCATATGACATATTGATTCATACTAACTTCATTTTATTTCTGTCGAAAATATTTTATCCTATTTATTATTTAAAATATTTATTTTTATAATTTCTCACATCGGAGATTACACTCCTTAATTTATTTTAATGTTAAGATAAATTATTATAGTTCTGTTTTCATTTTAATTCATAAAAAATATCTGTCACAAAATCATAATTAACCACAATACTTGTTAATTATATTTACCTCCCCACCAATTTAGCAAATTTAAGCATAAATTTTCAATAAAAATAGGACATAGAATCAGTGTTATTATTTTAGCAATATATTTATTTCTTTTAACAACTAAACAATTTTACAAAAAAAAAAAAACTGGCGGTATCAAAAATAAATTCCACTTGACTCAAATGTTTAGTTTTATTACACAGAGTAATTTTAATAATCTTTGATTGTCAAAGCACTTATATAAAAACGTATTGTGATTCCTAACATTGGTTGTGGAATTTTACAATTAAATATTAAAAAAAGACAATTATAAATGCTCAATGTGAATAGCTTTTCTGTAGTGTATTCAGTTTAATAAATAAATATTGATAGAATATGACACTTAATAAAAAAATATTACATACTTGTCTTGGGTGTTTCATTAAATATTTTAATCTAATTTCGTCTTTTTACTTGTTAAAATAAATATCCTATCGGTATAGTGTCTTAACTCGGAATCACCAAATAAATCTTTAATCACGGAGATTGGTTAGTGTAGTTACTTAAGCCACTTATGCAAAAATAAATATACTATTTGGCAACCTTCCATAAGTTAAAAACAATGAAAACATTTCTAATATTAAAAAGTTAAACTCATGTAAGTTAAAATCACATATATTTATCACAAAATCGCTAACAAACCATTAAATTTTCTTTGTTCAATGAAACATTTTTAATATAGCCATTAAAAAAATCTAAAGCAGTGATTTCTTTCTTTCCTACTATTCTAATAGATTTAAAATTTATATATCTTCTATCCCTACATAGTATCCTTAAAGACTTAGTTCTTTCACAATACTGTAAAGTACCTGGAGGACTGTTTGGTTCAACTTCATTATTGTCATCTAGAAATGCATTGAATAATTTCATCTCTTTGTCTCTGAACTTTGTTTTGAGAGAATACAAGCCATATATAGCTCTATATAAATTGTACACTTGAATAGCGCTCATTTCCGACCATTTAACTTCACATATACTTTTATTAATTTTCTTTGCTGAAAAACATGAATAACATACTTATTAATATTCAAGTAATAATGTATATCTTATTTACATTATATTTACGTGTGTCTAGATGGATATTCATAAGGTTTGCCATAAATGGAGAACACAGTCTGGACGAACTCATAGGCTACTTATAATTATTTTTTTTAATTCCGTGCGGACTGAGTAGTCTGCAACCGTTGGTAACATAGTGAATTTGACAATTTGTAATTTTAAAGAACATTTCTAATAGTGTGAAAATTAAAAGTATAAAAACACTACCATATGTAACTCCTTCATTGCTTTGAGGCTGTGCATTCTCTAAGCTATGAGGCAAATGTCTTAAGCAATCAACAAGCATTTCTGCACCAATTGTTGACAATTGCTCTGTCAACTCGGGCAATTTAATATCATTTGAAACTGCTACTTCTTCTTGACTTATTATTTCCCCTGAAATAAACAAAAGTCACACACATTCATCTACTCATTAAAAAAAAATTTGTTGAATCTTTATCTATACTCTTACCAACATCAAAAATATTTGGTTTGATTTTCATTAGTGTGACACCAGTAATTTGGTCACCATGCAGGAGAGTATAAATTATAGGTGCTGCTCCTCTCCAGCGAGGCAGAAGACTTGGATGAACATTAACCATTCCCCTAGAGCAGGGGAAGAGCAATAAGTATGTTATAGATTGACAAAATATGTATTAGTAGTTATGTTGGGAGGACCACAGCTTCCTTCTACTATATGTGTTTTTATGAATGTTAAGATATAAGCAGGGTATAGAACCAGTGATCAGAGCAAGGCCCCTATGTATCTTAAATCTCTAGGAAAAGCAGACCAGCAAGGTCTTCATGTAGTGTCATTATTATGTTCTTGCCTGACATTGCTTTTTGCTTACAAGGAAATTTGTAAATTGCTACTACGTTTAAAATTGTACTTATATATAGTATGCGTGACAAACATTAAACTAAGTTATATTATTGCTATTGGATACAACGATATAAAAGTAATTAATATAATACAAGTGAATAAATAAAAATACTCACAGTGGGAATTTCTTAAGCAGATCATCTTTAATCAGGTGTCCAAATGCTACAATCAAACCAATATCGTATTCTCCAATATGAAGACGTTGCAAAGGCCATTGTAAAGTGTTTATATTTTCCGTGTGAGCGTATTTTTCTATGGCAGACTTATTTAAAGATGTATTTGCTGTTACTAGGGAAAGACGGTCAATTTTACTTTCTTCTTTTCTAAAAGATAAAATAACGTTATAAATGGATATTGTAAAATATGGATCTGAAATACATATTTTTGAAAACTTACCGAAACTCATTTACACGTTTGAGGCTACCAAGTGCAATGTTGTCAGATCCAAAAAATAGTACATTATACGATTTCTTGTTACTAAAATACCTTATATTTCGAATGTTTTCTCTTATAATAAATTTAAATAAAATATGTGAGAGGTTATAAACTCTACAAGTCATATTTATTTATGACAGTGACATATCTCATGTTTTGATTACAATTGTCAAAGTCAAATAATGACATACGTTCCATTATGCAAGTAAGAACCATACATACCCACAACAATAGCTAAAATAACTAAATAAGTTATCAGTCATAACTTATGGTACTGGAACGCAAACCCTTATTCTAAACACCTTTAAGTAGGATCAGGATTGTCTCCTGTTATCATCTTCCTCTGCGATTTACTAAACTAAACTAAAACAATCCCCGAAGAATTGTTAAGCTCATAGAAAAGAAGAATAGTTCGAACAGCCGACTGGATCAAGTTCGCCGGAGATTTTTGGGAGGAGTTAAGGTAACGTATAATTTCATGTCGATTTCTTTGAGACTCATACTTGTTGCCTGTTTATGATTTTTATTGAAATTCCCCGCTTACTAAACGCAAATAAACTAAAAATTACTATAATATAGGCTAATAAAATAAAACAACATATGAATAAATAGTCACATTTATTTTTAGGTGAAAAATAAAACATCTGTTTTGTAGGTAGTTACATATACAATTATTATATTAATAATATTCGTTCAAAGAAGCTAACACGTTCTAAAGATAACATTACCGTATCATTAAGGAATGCAAATTATGCATATTAAACTTACACTTTTACTTCATGTTATTCATTTATTTTCAATAATTTTATAACATTGATTTTAATACTGCGTCTATTATAGTTCATCATCAATGGAAATACTAAAAACAAGTTGACAAGAAAGGAAGTCAAAATATTAATACCTTATATTACGTAATATGACCCTACCGAATTAATGAAAAAGAGAGGTTTTCACCTAAAAAAAGGTAATCAGATAAGAATTTCACGACACGAAATATATTGATAAGTGAAAATTTAAAGCTCTAATATTTGAAAACTTTTAATATTTACTTAAGTATTATTTAATTTGCTACTAAAGCTGATTGGTAAAACTAACACGAATAGCGAAATAAGCCTTTACTTTATTCAGAATCTTGTATTAGATACTTTGTATAATCATCCCAGAGCAGAATCTCACATACATTATGATACAATAATAATTAAATTAAGCTTCTAATATCGACGTCTAATTTTCTTGCTGATCGTAAATATTCTTGGATCCAAAAAATCGAATTGGAGAAAACGAGGAAGTTGTTTACACCATCTCACTATCAATGAATTCTTCCGGTTTTTAGGTTATTTTCGGCCTTAAGATTTGAGCGGAAAATTTTCAGTACACCCGCCCTGGTTTCCCTCTTCAACTTCTATAATTTTAAAAACTAATGAGATACTATCAACTATCGTGACTAGGTTTCACCCGTGACAATAGGACATACCTAAACATTTATTTACATAGGAATAGGAAGTGCCTTCAAACTGCAATAAATATCACTACGGTCTACAAAATATACTCTTAATGATATTTGTATTATACCGGTCAAAATTGTCGAAAATTTTGCAAATTCAACGTTTTTATTGCCCCGATTTTTGTGACGACCTTCTTTGGAAGCTTCTCTTTTTTGAAAACTGCGGTTTAGAATACCACGAAGGCGGACTAACAACGCTGTCTTCAAAACTTTTCAAACTTGCACTTCTTTGCGAACCCTCGCGTTCGGAGACTCGCGACGATATCGTTTCTAGATTATAACTAGTGTTTCTATTTAAACCAGTTCGAAAAGGAATGTCTTTCATTTCAAGTATTTCAACATCTGTATCGCTCAAGTCTTTGCTTGGTCTGTGCATCCTACTGGAATCTGTGTAATATCCGGTTGTTCTCAACGTACCGCTCATACGCTTAGATTTATCCCTATATATTATTTTCTGTAACTCTTTACGGAATTTAGGATGCGTTATGATGTAAATAAAAGGGTTTATACAAGCTGCAGTCTTGCAAAATAGCGCCGGTATCATCGAAGCCGTAGGGGTTATTAGGTTCTTTTTACCGAATATCCCCAAAAGTGCAACAATAGCGTAAGGTGTCCACGATATGAAAAATAAAGCTATAACAACTATTACTAAAAACGCTAATTTAATTTCCGCTTTTCGTTTCGTTTGTTCTTTTACGTGTCTCGAGGACAATCTTTGTTCTTGATTTTTGGAAGGCATATTCCTTTTGCAAACGACCACTTGTAAGATACTTGTGTAGCAGAAGAAAATCGTGCAAAATGGCACAAGCCAAGCCGCGCAGAAAAATGCGAAGATGAAATACCGCGGTCGTAAGTCTTCTGTGAGGTAGTCGAAGCTGCAACTTGTTAGGTAACCCTCTGGCACATAATGTCCGTAGCCAAAATCGAAAGCCGGTACAGCGGAAAATACAGCGGCGTAGGTCCATGCTCCAACTGCTAGGAGGCGAGCCCTAACAGCAGTAAGGGCTGTGAGGGGTTCAAGAGGTCGAACAACTGCCCAGTATCGGTCCAGTGCTATCGCTGTCAGAGTCGCAATCGATGTTGTTCCAGTTAATCCACCCAAGAAACCATATATGACACAACCTGTAATATTAACAAATTATAATAAGATACATAGAACAGATTATAAATTTTATCTATCCTATTTATTTTCACATGAATTATTTATAATAAACTGCGTATTTAAAAAAAGATAAAAAAACTGTTATTATATTTTAGTCAATACTTACCAGTTTTTCCTAATGCCGGGCCGAGGTTAAACGAGTTGAAAATAAATATAGGAGTTTTAGCGAGCATTATGAAGTCGCTGAGAGCCAGGTTCGCTACGAGTATGTTCCCCGGCGTCCGAAGCGTGCGACATCTGAAATATAAATAACAACCCTCTTTTAATGTTTTCTTTTACCCATGATCAAAGATATGTTGACGTACGTGTACCGGGTTTTAATATTTCCGATAAATAGCTTTGTTATTTTGCTTTTATTGTTGGCCACTATCAAACAACTGTCAAAAGGTTTTTTTCATGTATAACAGAATGCTTTATTGGTATTCGAGCAATGTTTTTTAAGCGAATAATTTTTTAGAAATGTCCTTCAGTTGATGGAAAATATTAATTTTTTGTACAAAATCAATGTTATACTTGCCTTTTGTAAAATAAGCTTACAAGCTCTGTGGATTTAATTAACAAGGATTATAAATTTACGATGAAAGGATCCCTACCATATTTAAACGATTACCTAATCTGAAGAAAGTATCAATGAGGGCTGCGGATAAGCTTAGCTTTTAATTTTGTTAGCGAACTTTGATTTAAGAATAGACATTTCCGATTCGTTACTTATACTATAGATACGGCGAAATATTTTTATTTTTTCTAATTTTGATAGACTACTGTTATTACCAGTGATAAATAAAAATAATAAACACAATTTGCCTTTGAATACGAATCTCGTTTTAGTGGAAGTAATCATTTCTTTAACGAATTCTCGACAAGTGAAGTAGCAAACAGAGAGAATTTAAAATGCGATAAGAACGTGAAGTAAATATCTTACAAAGAACCAATTCAACGTGAGACTGAAACACTACAAGTGCGCAGTCCTTTGAAGTAGGTACGAACATTTTCACATAAGAAATTGTACAATTTCTTGATATTTATACATTCATTAATGTTATTTTCAGTACTAGGATACTGTTAAGTAATAAACAATAGACCGTATAATAAGTGTGACATGTACACCGATGAAATAAGTCTGCTTTTTCGACACTTAATTAAAGTTTCTGATACTATCGTGTACCGGGGCGTCTGATGGTAAGTTATCAACGACGTAAATGAACTAGAACTAGAGAAATTGCTGTAGCATTTTTTTCAATGAAACGTAAAACATCGTAAGTTCTTCTGTTAAAGAAACATATTCATGTTGGTTTGATATTAATTGCTTTGCGACTGTGCAAGGTGATTGGAACGGTCGGAGAATTTGAATTCCAAAAGACAAAGATACTAAAAATACTAAAGAAGAAGTAAACTCAGGTAGAAAAATAATTATTTGCATGTCTAGTTAAAGTAAATTTGTGAAGTATTTTTAAAAGAGACCCTCATTAGACTTGTATTCCATTAGATACGAAACGAGGGTTGTAACGGAGGTAGCGACTGACTAGTGAAACTTACACAAAAGACATTTAGACGATAATGAGACAACCTTAACGTTCGAAACAACTTTTCGTCGACTTATTTCGTTTACGTCAGAGGCAGTAATTTTAACTGTGGATATTTATATTATAAATATAATTTAAGTAAATGAAAAAAATGAAGGTTTTCATATGCAAATTCTATGTAAATTTTATCTTGTTTCATGGTATTTATTACGATTTTTTTGAGTTAATTTGCAATGTGCGTTCTTTGTTAACTGCGGGATTGGATGGGACATGGTAAATGCATTGTAAAATATTTTTGTTATTACAAACAGAACGAAAGCGCATCGCAACTAGAAACCAACAATGACATACATATTACGCCTGAATTAAAAAATATATAATGCAGTTCAATGTAAGAATTAAAAGACACTAACACTGATTTTTTTTAATGATTGGTAATTTTTAGCTTAAAGTTATTGCACGATTTAATTTATGTGCCTTTTAAACTGTTAGCAATTAAAGGCATATCCGAACTTTATCTTATTGCATAGAAAAAGACTTTTAGTGTGTGTAAAGGAATAACATTTTACTAGCAATTTATGATTTTTTTATAGTAAGTGTCTCTGCCAAAGCAAAAAGAACGCGAGGCATTACAGTATGTTTTTGGACAATTGTGTACAGTAGTACGCTGATTATCCGAACGATGATTGACCGCATCGCCAATTATCCGAATCGGTCCTGAGCGTAATATAAAATATAAAAACCAAGTAATTTTTTATTTTGTTATGTTGTAAGAAGTCGGAACCCGCTGGAGTCCATATATATCAACTGTTATGGTTGAAATCTATTGTAGAACTGTGCTTTATTGAGTTTGTTAAACTTTACAATGTGTGACAGTTCGTTTTTTTATTACCAATCTATGTCCGATCACCCAAATTTTCGATTATTCGAATCGAGCACATCATCATCATCATCATCAGCCTATATTAGTCCACTGCTTGACATAGGCCTTTCCGATGGCACGCCACTGAGCACGATCCTCGGCCACTCTCATCCAGCTCTTAATTAATTTGGATAATCGGCTCTTACAGTATACCAATTTTAATACGTGACTAAAAATAAGACACAGCGCTATAAATTTACGCATTAACCTAAACTTGGCGTAGCTTACACCTCGCGGAAAGAAAGTTATTACACGGCAATAAATTGTATCATGAACGCTCGTAGGGAATACTCGAGCTTTTGTGCATATTAACTTAAGTAATTATATATCTAAGACAAGCTAATTGGATTATCAAGATTAAATCTATACAGACCCCGAGTAATTTAGTTCAACCCCTAAACTTAGTTTTTATATCAACGTCTTTGATATTGTGCTGGAAATACAGGTATGACGATAATTATTTTAATGTTTATAACCTCAATTGTACATGTATAATCTGCACAGTTAAATTACTCTGTTTATTGACAAATGATAAGCAAAAAACTTATTTACTATTCATTTGCATCATAAAACAGTTATTTATTTTTTTATTGCTTGATAATAGAACTCGAAGTCTCAATTAATTAAGTAATTATTTTTGCACCCTATAGCCGTTAGTTTTTCTTCCATAATGTTATAAAATTAGTAATATACATTCCTTACAATTCCATCTTATTCTGTCAGTTAACGGAAAAGTAAACGATAGTTTTTCATTAGTGTTTTGTTTTTCATTTTTTTTTGAACTGAAAACAAATGACACCGCTTGTCACGTTATAAATTTAGAAAATAACCGCAAATAATACGATTTTATTATAGTCATTAGTAATTATATTAGTATTTGTTACATTTTAAAATTATTTAATACTTTTAAGGTTTATTAATACTATAAAATAAAATTGGAACCGTTAACTAACTGTAACATTGACCCTGATCTCAAACAAGTAGCCACTTAATAAGTTTCGGCACGGAGACGACCTTCATTCATTCATCTGTACGCAGGGTCCAAAAATTATTATTAAAACATTTCCATTTTTACCTATCAAAAGATACATATCCGAAGCTTTTGATAGGTAAAAATGGAAATTTATTTATTCAGTTATTTATTATGCTTCGGTATTAATCACAATAATGCCACTTATGGAGTACTGAAAGTACAAAAATTTTAACTACTCACGTCACGTTTTGAAGTTAATTTTTTTTTCTATTTATTAGCAAGTATCAATAGTTGATATTGAGTTTTTTTTTAGCTAGACCAAGGTAGCTAGTTAGAAAACAAAAGTTTTTTATTGCTTCTCATTCATCTTACGCGTTTAATGATATGTGAAACAGTCAATATTTCACTTTTATTGTTGTAGTTGGCTCCTGTTAGGAGACGTGGATATCAACTAAAGTGTCAACAACACTACTGTATGAATTATGTAGCCAATTTATTTATTTAATATTAAGTTGTCTATGTTTTTACCTTGAAATATATACCTGGACCAATGAAAATTTATCATAGAAATAAAATATAATAACTAACTCATTTTTTCGGTTCGCTTGTTAAAAGAAGTACCAGGCACAAATAATTCTCTTTGTATTTATTGTCTCCTTAAATTATTAGTAACTATCTAATCTAAAAAGCTAATAAAATTAGAGTGTTTGCTTTACCAAGAACAAAAACCATTTTTTTTTTTCTGTCTATGAGCCGCGTTTCTTTTCGGAGTTTACGCGAAACGATTAGACCGATTTTCAGTAATCACTAGTAAATGTGATTAATTTCTTTTTACCTCTACTTTCATTGTTAATAATTAATTTAATAATAATAAACTTTATTTATTATGATAGTCAATTATTAATATATTCCAATTAATCACACTTACCCTAAAAGGTACATAAATATCTAGTCATCACATCTAGTTAGATCTACCTATTTCCCAAAAACTTTGTCAATCACTTACGTTTATGACTCGCTCAGGGAAAATAAGGTCTAATTCTTGTTTATTTAATCAAACTTCATAGCTTAATCACTAATATGATCTAAATATAAAGTAATCATTAGTTTCGTAAAATTAGTAATGATATGAACGAAATATACCTAATAATTTGTGGAATAAAAATATAATCAAAAAATAATATTTTTTTCTTATTATACTCGTACGGATGAAATAATTTGTAAAGGAATACAAGATTTTCGACAGAAAGGGTGGCCAAACCTACCTATCATCATCATCATCATCAGCCAACTATACGTCCCTACCGAGGGGCTCGGAGCCTACCCTACCTAACTTTAAATTAATTTTGCTGATAAGGTCGACAGAATGCGGGTATTTTTATATTTAGGGGATACAATGTGGATATGATATGAATTGCGAATGAATTGAAAGAAAACTCCGTGTATATTTCTATTTTACTGTAGAAATTTCATACAGTGCCAAATAAATGTCTATCTTACTATTTACTAATGTTCTAAATGCGAATGTTTAGATGGATGGATGGATGTTTGAAGGTATCCCAGACATGGCTCAACGGATTTTGATGAAATTTGGCACACAGATAGAACAAGTCTGGCAGAACACATAGACTACTAATTATGTTTTTATTCAGTTATTTTTTTAATTTCGCGCAGACGGAGTCGCCTGTGACAGCTAGTAATAAAATAAATATGAGAATCACTACTTTTTAACGTCGTTTCTGTTGGTTCAGGATATTTTTATTACAATTATATTAATGCAAAAAAGGTTTCAATGTGGTATTTTCTTCTAATTAACAAATAACAATTATCGTTAAACACGTGCCGGTAAGAGCAAAAAAAAGTTATAATTTTTATCTTACCATCTTCAAGGTTTTATTATTTATGCATAAAACAATCGTTTTATTGCAAAAAGAATAAAAATTAACACGAACGTTTCGTTCTAAAATACAGTTAACGAATGAAGGCCAACAATATTGTTTACACTTATTGTATTAAGCCTTTCCCTCAAGTATTCTTTGTCTTTTTCTTCACAATTGCAAGTTATTAAAATTCTTTTCGAGCGTTAATTTTATTTGAATAGTCCTAAAAGATGGTACATTTAGATTCACAATCAAAAATAAAAATAGATATGTGAAGTAATTAAAAAACATGAATACTAATTAAATGTTTATTTACAGATTGACTGCAGAAAATTAATTGAACGTAGTTATACCAATTCATATACATACTGTGGTACAGTTTGCATATTAATTTCCACCAACATTTGTATATCCGTTCACTGCATGCTAACGCAAATATTTGCTCTCGAATTTCCCGATATTCGCAAAAAAAAAATTATAAACACTGACGTATTCAATGGTCTATCAATAGTTTTTATTCTCACTAAAGTAAATGTAATATCACAGTTGCAGCTTAAATTGAGTTAAATAGAACAACGTATAAATTAGTTATCCATCGCTCGTTAAATCCGTCCCATTTCAAAGCCATCGTAACGACTGTACTGAAATATTTGTGTATGACTTTGCAGCGGTAATTAACATCTTTATAGTCTTCGATAAGCAATTTTGTTAATCGTAGTGGTCGACAGATGTGGACCTGAATGATCACTGACTATGTTGCAGACGGCAAATAACGATGTATAGAAATAATATGCACATAATTAAATGTAAACAATACTTTACAGCTTGGCCAAAAATAGTAATAGTAAATAAGATGTCGAAGCATTAGTAATAGTAAATCAATAAAATGCCATCAGAGCTGTTTTAAAAATATATTATTCTAGCTGTCGCGGAGTAGAAAAACCTAATAAGTAGCTTATGTTTTCTTCCAGACTATGTTCTATATATCTATACCAAATTTGAATGAGATCCGATAAGCCGTTCTGAAGATACCTTTGAATAAATATCCATCTATCTATCCATCTTAACTTTTGCATTTATAATATTATTAAGATAGTAAGGAAAGTCAGATGTATATCTATGTCTGTATTTATACAAACTCCATGTTTGATTACATTTTAAACTAATAGTTACTTGTTCCTTTAGAATAACGTCTTATGTTTAACATATGTTAAGCTCATTTTAATAAAAACCTTTTTTGTTATTGTAAAAACGAAAATGTTTCAAATTCAATATAAAACTTTTTTACAAACTATTTAACTATGCTATAAAAATATCTTGGCTACTAAATTCTAAATTTGTACCCTTTATTAATTCAAAAATAATTATGCATTAACATAAAAAGATGAACGAAAAATGTTGCTCAAGGCTTCATTAATGGTTGTTTATTTTTAAATCACTTCTAAAAGCAAATGAGGCTGTACTTAATAAATTAAGGTAATGATCCCTTTATAATAAACACAAAGCTTAGTGTATATAAAAATCGTAATAAATCAAAATAATGAAAATATTACTTTGAGAAGTCATTAAAATGCAATAACCATCAAATAAATAAAATTTACCGGAATTTATGAAGGTTAAGTGGATTTAAAAAAGTTGTGGCGAATATATTATACGTATTTGCACTGAAGCAGAATCATCATTTACGATATTTTTAAGAGTTTTCATTTTAAATTATTCAAACTTTCGTGAGATATTATACTAAACTGATATATAAACACGGCTAAACACTCACGTATATTCGTCCGCTGGCGGCACCGACTAGTTTCGAGCGCATCGGGGGCCATTCATCAGGATGAGTTGTACTGGTATTATTTTGCGGACGCGGCCCGTCGCTCACTGTCGTAATACCAGTACCACTCATCCTGATGAAGGGCCCCGATGCGCTCGAAACTAGTCGGTGCCGCCACCGGACGAATATACGTGAGTGTTTAGCCGTGTTTTTATATCAGTTTAATTTTCATTTTCTTAATACAGTTATACTAAAAGATAAAAACAGACAGCCCAGCTTACTTAAAATAATAATACCGAATCGACCGAATTATTATATTTTCGGAGACATTGATTCAGATTTAGACTGGTTTATTGAAAATTGTAATAACTAGAGACATATGTACATAGCAAACAGATCAAGCTTAATAAAAACATTTAATAAACGGGAATTCACAATAATTACTTATGTTTTTTTAATCAAGACAGTTAAGTAATTAACTTAAATATGTCGCAATGTTTTCGGTAGGGTTAAAAATTTTATCAATACAAATTCAACATAACATCGGACTATTCATGAATGATTAAAATTTAAAATGCTTTTATTATTGTCGGTTTCCACTGTCGAACGATCCTTTACCTTCTCTTTAACAATTTGAGTTGATAAAATCTTTTAATAGCAGTGGAATTTCACGGTTATATCAACACTATTTCGGTACAAGCATAAATGCATTTGTTTTGATATTTCCTCCAGTCATTGTACGCACACATTATGATATTTTATAATAAGTAAAATTAGTAAGTAGGTACTTGTATTGGAATAAATGTCCTTGAGATATTTTTATTTGCGTAAACACATTCAATTTACCGGCCCACTGTCACCCAGGAAATAATATTGACATTTGTGTTGCAATATAAAGACCATGGTTCATTATGTTAAGACCGTTTAATTTTTATATTCTTAACAAGTCTTTAACAGACCAATATTATAATATAAACTACCGTAGTAATCATTTTGTGTATAACATTATAGCCGTGAGTTTGCGAGACCAAAATCACCGTTTAAAACATATTGTCATCTCTGTTTTTTCAAAGATAATGAGAGGGATGACTATATGTTTTATACAGAGATTTTAGTCTCAAAAACCAAAGATATACATATATACATATACATTGCATAGTCTGTGTAGATTATATTTATAAATTAAACTGACCTGCAATACATATAAAGGACCATAATGTTTCCAAAACAACCAGTAACTAATATTGCGATGTAAATACTGGCCAGGGTGTAATGAATAACAGGTGGAGGTGGAGAAAATCTCAGCCAATGTGAGTTTATCATCAGCAGATAATCATCACTGAACCATCCGTATTCCTCCCATAATTGTACAGGCCACTTCTCCTTAAACCTCGCGATAAGTGCTAAACTTATTGCATCTGTATCTATTGTAGATATGTTTGAAGAATTAGCATATGTTACAGTCTCATACAAACTTCTTTTTCTTATTTTGCTAAAGTTTTCTTCCACAAATAATCTCTTAATTCTTCTTCTCTTCTTCCATTGTTTCAATTTATTCGAGCAACGCCACAAGAAATCACTTTGGCACTTAAATGGACTTAAAATCACTGATTCATTGTATTCACGTAAATCAAACATTGTATTATTATGTTCGTAAATGTACTTCAAATCTTTGCTGTCTTTTAACTGACTTATATTACTTATGTTACCACATCGCACGATAATTGGTATAATTATTATGACGAGTCTGAATACAAGTGACATTTTTGCCGCGAACACTATTTAACGTGAGAGAGAGGAAAGCTTGAGCACAACCGTTCGCGGCGCTTTCCAAAACAAAATGTTATAAAGATTGGCTCAGACTCACTTCGCTGTCTGGATGTTGCGAATAATATGATTTTCATACGTACTACGTTGTCTAGGATTATAAATATACAGATTTCACATTTTACAACGTTTTAAAAATGTCGCAGATCGCGTAAATCAGACATTTCATTCTTTCTTTGTGAAATGTTGGCTATTCATTTTATTGTACGAGCTGCTGATTGCTTTTGATAGTGACTGACTGCCAGAATAATCTATGTAATAGTATTAATAAATTTAGCTTTTCATTCGTTTAAATAATAATAATTCGATTCCCGAACAATTTAGTATAATAATATGAACATTAAGCATCGGAATAAAAGTAATTTTACAGATTTATCGCATTTTTTCAACGTCTGTTCAAGTCCTGTCGTAAGTATTTATCGTGGTGTACGTCCATATGTCAACGTTGTTGGTAAAGTACCTACCATTTCATTACCTTTAATTCTTATCCGTTCTGTTTACAAACACAAATAACTCTTGCTATTGTGTGAAAACAAGATTCAAGTAAGTATAATGCATCGTTAGTATAGATTTCTTTGGCCACCGTGGGATCGATTGTCAGTACGAGGGCAAATATTTTTTTTACTGTGTCGTGTGTACTTTTATAACAAATAAAAAAAATTCTCTGGATAGACGATGGATTATTTATATTGTTTATGTACCAGTTATTTCAAATAAGTTGGAGTTAAAAATAATTGCAGATAAGGCATTGATAAGTAATAATTGAATGTATTTAAAAGACAAGTAGGATACTACTTAAGATGAACAAACCAAGCAACAGATTAGCGCGTGGACATTTACATTTTAATGTTGAGTTAGAACATACAATTACGTAGGTATGTTAATTGTGTACAATTTATAGAATACTATAAAAGTAAGTCATCATTTTAATACGGGTGCCGTGTCGTTTATAAAAGGCTAAACTTCCGTAAAAACCTTGTAACATGTCTCGTTTCTTTTCCTTGTTATTTCAATAATTGTGTTTCATTTTAGTATACTTATACTTTGTCAAGTATTACCGCTTACTTTATTATAAAAATATCTTTCTCGTCGAAAGCAGATTTTGTACAAGCGGTTATAATTTTTGTGGAAAATTATAATATGATAAATTGACATTAAATCAGACTAATCTTAAAGAGTAGGAAGTTATTGGAATTATATAGAGAGAAAACTCATTTTTTATGCTTTTGATATAAGTAGTTCGCGTAGTACTTCTTATAATTGCCTCTCAATTGTTACTATTTTTTTTCTTAATTTAATTAAATATTATGTCTTAGTATATTAAGTAACTAAACCATTTTAAAAGCTGTTTTGTTATAAATATCGCAAGAAACTTCCATTTTCGGAACGTACTAATGAAATAATTGATGTCGAATGTCTGCGTATTTGATGTTTTGAACATCTGTGAAACTTTCACTGATTATATTGGGTGCATTTAAAATTATTAGGGCACAGAGGGACGAGTTTGGTGCACATGCACTGAACCATATATAATTGTTATTCCAACTACAAGGCTCAGAGTGTTAAGTGGTTATTAAACGAGATCCTAAATGTAGATTTAGTATATGACATAGGAATAAACCATTATATTTTTAATTATGTTGGTAATTTTGTAACGTATTGCCCTATAGCCATAAAGTTTTTACTAAACATTGTATATCTCGTAAAGAAAGTAGTAAATAAGTTTTGCCTTTAATTGCTTCACACAGCATGGGTTTATCTTAACCATAAGCTAAAGAAAATTTCTTCCTGTAAGCGAAAAACTTTTACTTGTTTTATTTCGGAATAAAACCATGGTTAAGGTATATGATGTGAGAAGAATTAGGATCATAGGCAGTATATAATGTTTTTATACAGTGCTGAGTTTGTTTCAAATTGTTTTTCAGGTGTTGAATGTTAGAGGAGAACTTTTAACAAAAAATATATATATATATATATGCATTTTTGTGCACCTTTTAACGTTGATTTGACGATCATAGAAATTTAAACACGTATACTTACTTGAAGTACATCAAGAGCACTATAATATTGCCCCAGCCGCCGACTGCGCAGAACAAGATGTACATGCTCGCCAAAGTCCTCTGCCATGTAGCCCCCGGCGGTGCGAACTGCAGCCAATGCTCGTTTATTACATCCAAATAATCATCCGTAAAATAACCATACTCACGCCATATCGAAAGCGGCCACGTAGCTTTGAACTTGGCAATCAACTGAGAATGTCTGTCTGTTTCATTGAAATTTGAAATGTTTTTCATTCCATCTAAATTCGTTATTTTATTTGTAATTTCTTTAGTATTGTTCACGTCCAAATCGTCTCTTCTTATACGATCCAACGAGATGAAATCCACATAAAACGATAATGTTATTTCTGGTCGAGAATATGGTAGCATATTTGTTATTTCAGCACTGCATAAATTATTTAAAATAACTGTTGATATTCCGAGCAAGAGAACAACATTCATGTTTACGGATTGTATTATTTCTATTAGCGTGTGGTTCCTCCGAGTTGCTGGAACGCTTTGCTGAAGGTAAATGCGATATAGAGGTATAGTAAGAAGATATTGAATTTTTAGCTAACGTCCCCGGGGACCGCTTTTGATCCATACATAAATTGGATTAAATTGGCTCGCTTTATGCTATACCTCATTAATTCATAATATACTTTATTATGTTGATTGGAAGGTCATTTGTGTACCCATGAAGTTTATTAAACAATATCTTATTAGAGTTATAGTATTATGCTTGTTATTTTCCTTTTTCTGATCTTTCTAATATTATAAATGCGAATGTTTTCTCGATGAAATTTGGCATAGAAGAACATAGTCTGGAAGAACACATAGACTAATCATGATTCTGTAAATAATATACAAGGTTAATTTTGCTTGTTTCAGTAGAATGTACAACGCGACTACAATAACATGAGACTGGCTCGGTATGCGACGTCATCCATTACCGCGAGCGCAAGGATAACACAATGTAAGTTACATTTGATTTTTATTTCAAAACGCAACGGAAACTTTTTAATAAAGATAAACGAGACATCATTGAAATCTTAGCTTATATTATAGTGCCAAAATACCATGATCGTTTCCAATGCCGAAACACCAGCAAAAACATTGTTATCTAAATTTTCTCAAGGAGTATAAGGTTGAAAATATAAGGAGTCAGTAGAAACCCACAGTAAACAAATGTTTTGTTTAAATCATTCAAACATAACACGTAACATATGCAGACTACACTCCGTTATTATGAAAACAAAAATATGCAGACAGTGATAGAAATTTATACAGTGAAATAGCAAAGTTCGTGTTTTAATTTTAAGAAAATATTGTTGTTAAATAATGAATATGCTACCCACTTGTTTGTCTACCACAAATAATATTGGAAGTTTCACGTATAAATACGAATACGAATTAAAAACTCAGTATTTTTTTTTTGTTGAGTTATTATATAAAAATTAAAACAAATCTGTTCAACGGGAACTATACATCGCTTGGATAAAGGTAGCTTACATCTTACAGACTGCAATGTATCTTTTGTCAAATTTTATTTAGGTCCCATCTGTCGTTTAAGAGTTACGTTGGAACAAACATCCATATAGACATGTTTTTTACTTCTTTCGCATTTATCTTACTAATATTATGAATATAATTTTGTAAGAAGATATCTTTAGAACTCTTACATAGATCCCGCTTCAAATACATCTAAAACATAGTCTGGAAGATCAGATCACATAGGCCACTTGTAATTTTTTTTAATTCCGCGCGGACGGAGTCGCGGGCGATAGCTAGTGCTGTATAAGAAAGATATGTTTTTCACATGAAAACACACATATGTATATTTTTTATACGAAAGGGTCTTCTGTCACTTATCCCGTGTTCATTCCTAGACGCCGTGTGCTATTGACATTTCTCGGAAATCATGATACCGATATTCCGCGCCTATAAATAATAGGTAAAGAATATTATTTAAAACGATATTTTGAAAAGTTAAAATCGTCGAAATTAAATTATATTTATTTCAATTATTATTCAGTTCTTTCGATGCTTAAAATAAAGCGATGATTCACATTATTATGAGGCCATATCAAATTCCCAGGTTGATTCATGAGCTCTTAATTGGTAATCATTAAGTCTTATTGACGTTATTTCGACAATCTGTCAGCATCTTGATAATCTTATAATCTTTCCGTGAGTTATTGGACTTTCGTCAAGTTCAATTTGGTAAATATAAAATTAAATTTGATACAGTTGTTTGTTTCACATACCAAACTGTGATACAAAAAATAGTGCAACTGCCAATAAGAATTCCAATACCGAATATGTATCATATTGTTATCTCTATTTGTTTCAAAGAGAATAAGCGAGATGGCAATTTATTTTTGTACATGTGTTTCATAAAGTACAAAGCTCAGAGTATATTGTAACCTTAAAAGGTTTTAAGACTGTCATAATATGTCTATATGTGGACCGGCTTTACAAGTAAAATATGTTATTATTAGTACTGTAAAACAAATAAAAATAAATCAAACTAAAACATGCAAAAGATATAATTAGTAACGTTAAAACTATAACTTTTATTAATAAGCTACTTTATACAATTGAAATATAAAGAAACATAAAACTCCACAAAATATTATATAATTTATCTTTTAAATTTTACTTTAAAAAGGGATACTTTGTCTGTAAAAATGTAACGCGGTTTTCTTTTACAGTTGCTCCGTTTGATGAATGTTAAGCAATAAGAGCACTTAAAGGAATTTGTTTCATTTCACTCTGCAGAATATAGCATTGGAGTTTTTATTTACTTTTGTCTTTTCACATCTGGTCCATTTCTTACTTATCCGTATTTTTTTTCGATTAAAAAAGTTTATCAAAGAATTAAGGTTACTTCAAGGCAAGCTACATCATTTAACTACAACTTAAATCATTAAAACATTGTCAAATTCCATGGCAGGTTAAAAAATATTCGGAATACAACACAATTGTACAGTCAACTGCATAAA